CTCTCTCTCTCTCTTCTCTCTCTCTCTCTCTCTCTCTCTCTATATATATATATATATATATATTGATTAAAGGATTATCAGCGTGAATTCTTTGCCGCCCAATTTACATATTTTCTAACCGTAATAACCCTGAACGATGACATTGGAATTACGTAAACGTAATGTTTGGAGGCGAAGCGGAACGCTAGGAATGCTTTTCTATCTACCTAATCTATCCAACATGTTCTGCTATCATCTATGACAAATACGACATACGCATATATATGCGCTCTTCTATGACACTATAATTTTGTAATAGGAAGATTCTTCCTATGACAAATATTGCTGTATGTGTTGTGCGCATCATAGGAGTTTAGGAGCGCTATTACGAACGCAAGCAGTGAATTTCAGCTGTAAAGCGGAACGAAGTTGAGTCGCCAATATTTGTCATAGGAAGAATCTTCCTATGACAAATAGTGTCATAGGAGAGCGTATAAGCGTATGTCGTATTTGTCATAGATGCTAGCAGAACATGTTGGACTACGTGGGTTTATTCTGGAAAAAGTGTGAGAGACATAGGGAGAGGGAGAAAGAAAGGGAGAGAGAGATAGAGAGAGAGGGAAATATCTGGGAGGGAGAAAGAGAGATCGAATAAAAGCAAAAGAGCGAGTGAGGGGGAGAGACAAAGCGCGAAAGAGGGGGAAATGGGAGCGAAAAAGGGTGAGAGAGCGACAGAGGAGAGAAAGAGGAATTGGAGACAGAGAAAGAATGACGGGTGTGTTTAATTACCACATACGGAGTATAATAATTGTGCGATTCTTTCAAACAAATACTATACTTTAACGATGGGTGCTTACGAGCATGTGTGCGCACACATATATGCACATTCATTCTTACATCCCATCTCGAAACGCACGCGTGCGTCACAGAGCGTGTATGTGCGGGCGCGCGCGTGCGTGCCTGCATGCTATAATTTTTCCAGCGCACGTCAGCACGCTCTAAGAGCGCCGCACAAGGATAGCGGAGAAGGTCGCAACGTGAACGTGTACCCAGACCTATAGACGATTCCATCTTCTCTCGCCGCCTGCCTTGAACGCGGGCAGCGATGCGAGCGGGCAAAAACACCCGCGCTTTCTCACACGCACGTCTGCGAGAATGCGGTGCCATGACACTCGCACGCGTTTATCCATACAACAGTAAGCCTCCTCAAATTGTTCACCGCTGCACTATTTGATCCCTAGAAAAGGCCGATTTGCGTTTTTTTTTGCACTGAAATTCGGCACTGGAGTGCACTAATTTGCATTATGCACGCAGATTAGATGCCTCGTGGACGTCTAGGATACATTAGAAGTAAGATTGGTCTTGTCGTGTAATTGTGCCATTCCAGCAAGTGGCGTATCCATGGTGACCGGTCGGCCATTTTTGTGTTTTAAACGGGATCCGACTACTCTGTAGAAATACGGGTCATAGAGCTGCAAAGGTTTCGAGCGGCGTATAGAGCACGAATCTGTAGTTATTTAACATGAATAAAGTGTATGTTGTGTATATGCGATGAAACAGTGTGAGTATTTGTAATGAACTTCTGTTCGATGCTTATTCAGACCTGCTGCCTATATGGACTCCTTCTACTGCTGTACACCACCTTAATATCATTCGCGCGCTATTTATTCACGTAGCCCGTAGCCAGCCAGCCGTTGATCGTCCGTGACCTTCGTGAGTAATACGCATCGGTGGATGAGCAGCATGCAGCAGCAGCAGCAACATCATATGTACCGTATCGCACGCGAGAAAAATGATGAGCAGGATTCTGTGATGACATACGAGGGTCACGCGACCTCGCCCCTGTCCACAATGAAGAGTAGCAGCAGCAGCAGTAGTAGTAGCAAAGAAAGGGAAACCTTGGACGTCGCGCCGGTGGTGTGTGTGAAGACGGGGTGGCTGGGGTGGGGTCGAGGTGGCGGGGGGAGGGGGTTAATACTAACCCTCGTTAAAGGCTCAGCAACAGAGGGCGTGCGATGCGTGGCGTCGGTATATAAGCGACGGTCGACGGCGGGCAAGTTGCCGTGTCACGCGTCCTCGCTCCAGACGGTGGTAGTAGTAGGTGTTATAACCCCGCAGCCGCTAGACAAGAGATTATTGAGTGAGCTGAATTTATGTAAGTGTTCACAGTGGTGGTGGTGGTGGTGGTGATGGTGGTGGTGGGGGTGGTGGTGATGGTGGTGGTGGTGGTGATGATGGTGGTGGTGGGAGTGGTGGTGATGGTGGTTGAAATGCTGCTGCTGCTGCTGCTG